CTTTTTCTTAAATATCTGGCCCCTGCAGACTTGACGTAGCCTTTTTCTTAAATATCTGGCCCCTGCAGACTTGACGTAGCCTTTTTCTTAAATATCTGGCCCCTGCAGACTTGACGTAGACTTTTTCTTAAATATCTGGCCCCTGCAGACTTGACTTAGCCTTTTTCTTAAATATCTGGCTCCTGCAGACTTGACGTAGCCTTTTTCTTAATATCTGGCCCCTGCAGACTTGACTTAGCCTTTTTCTTAATATCTGGCCCCTGCAGACTTGGCATATCCTTTTTCTTAAATATCTGGCCCCTGCAGACTTGACGTGGCATTTTTCTTAAATATCTGGCTCCTGCAGACTTTGCAAGACCATTTCACAATAATCTCACGTTAATCCGTCTAATACTGTAAAACTTGCCCTAGGTGCCAAAAAGTCGGCATGATACTTCAAATAAACTAAATTTTACAGTGATTTAAAATACCTTTAAAAGTCTTAAATAGATACAGATGTCCAAGCTTAATCTGATAATCTACATATTTAAAGAGTTTAATGTAGTTATTAAAATCTCATTCTTTCTGCCTCTTTAATAATAATTAACGTATACAGTTACAAACAGCCTAACAAGTGACAAATTATTATTTACAAAATACAACTTTCTGTCAATACCAGTAAACCAATCAAAAATAATAAAGAATTTGATTAATCTTTTTCATTAATTCTGAGTAATAAATCGTCAATGATAGAAACTAACAATTAATAATTATTGCTTTTTCATAATTAATAAGAAGTATAATTGAAACAATTAATAAAAAAATAATTTTTTATGAAACTATAGCGTACTTTATCATTATTACTCACTTCATCGTGAATTTCATAATCAACGTGCTTTAAAGTAATCATCTCGAATTTTTAGATTGAACCTTCTCGATAAAGAGAAAATTTCTGTCTAAAAACTTTATAACACTGCGAACCAAAATAACAGTGTTATAAATAGTTTTTAAAATACGTTAAATGATCAAATTAAAAAATTCTACAGCTTGGGACCCATAATACTGCAGCATAAGAAGCCAAATCTTGTCTCCAGTTAAGATTGCTAATATTCCATAATAAACTTGAAACACAGCAATTGTGTTCTGTACATCAAACTTATTTCACTTAATCATTTGATTTTCAACATAAAATAAACAAAACTTAGTTTGAAGGTTTCTTCATAGGCAAAGAACCGGAACGTATAAACTAAATATTTCATACTAAGCGCAACACAAAGATTTTAAGTTAAAACACAGAAAAAATATATTTTTTTAATAAAGAGAGTTATGCATTCTCACCAGTGCTATAGTGCTATATATCCTTTGAGAACCGAATTGAGATGCATTCTACTCTGCTTAGTAGTAGCACTGCTGAGATTGCATACACCCCCACCTGAACTGTGCTTCGATGGTTAAGAATATTTATACTGTGCAGTGTGCATCCCTATCTATTGCATGTGTGATTTTATGAACGTACTTAATACCATATTAATTCATATCATTCTTCAACGGTTTTTAACATAAAATTACAAAGATGTAAGAATAAGAAAATTACAAAGATATAAAATTAGAGTTTGTGTTGAGAACATTTGCCTGAGTGTGAAATCTAATTCTTGGTAACATTGTACAATGTACATACGCTGTACGGTGCAGTGTAGTGCAGTACACGAATTTATTAGGGAGCTCTTTAACAAATTTTTCCAAACGCCCTTTTTAAATGTTTTTGAAAAACTGTGAATTGTATCACAAAGTATGTTGCAAATAAACCCAAATTTGACGTGTGTTAAAACCATGTAAACATTTTTGCTCCTCGCTTAAAAATTGACAAAATATTTATATTTAATATTCCCCTCTTTTAAGCATGAACAACTGCATTTTTTCATTTTTCTCATTATTTTCTTATGTTTTCAACCAGTATACAAGAGTTCAAAGGTCTTAAATTTTAATCAGAATCAGTATTCAATAAAATATATCTCAAATATATCAAATACTAGTATTATATATCCTGACATACGGATAAAAGAATTTTAAAATACTGATATTTACCATATTTAAAAGTGGTCGAAAGTAAAGAAAACGTAAAGCCTGAACTGATGTGAATAAGCCTACAGAGTATAGGAAAGAATGTATTTACAGTATAAATAAGAACAAATAATGATTGATACTAATGAATCTAAGAATGCCGAAGCTCTTCCTCCTTTTGTTTCCTTGTTAGTAATAGCTCTATTTCGGTTTTAGCCCCGAAAGCCTTATTTTCCGCTCCCTCATGTCTCCAAGCCTGGTGGCCTGAATTGGCCTGAATTGGCCTGAATTGGCCTGAGTTTAAAATAAAGAGTTTAATGGCAGCTGGAATTGTCTACGCCTGATAGTATTCGATGTATTGAAATCATGATTTCTGGATGGCATCTTTTTATGGACAGAATTTGAATACATTTTACATGAGACGACTTATCATTCACCCCGCTTTCCGTCCGACCTATAGTTATATACAAAAGAGCTAATATGCTGTCATGATTATAGACCAGCCTACTTGCAAGTTGCAAATTTGAGCTTAGCTCCAGGTTCATATGAGGACTGAAGGGGTAACATCAATGGAATTATCCTTATTCCGAGTTTTTAAGCTATAACACTGGTTAGATACATTACTATGTTATTATAAGTATTTTGAACGTGTGATACATATTTCTATAAAATTACCAAAAAAACGTATTTGGAAAAAAATCTTAATCCATTTATTTTAAAATTCGGATATTTATATTTTGAAATTTGGATAAAAGTATTATGAAAAAGCTAATACGACTAATTTATAAATAATTTGAATAATTTGTTCAGTGAAATGGTATAACTTTATGTGTTTTGAAAGTTTTAGTGTTTGGATGATTTAGATGTTTTGAAATTTTATTGATGTAATCTTTAAAAATTTAACGAAAGACAAGGTTTGAATTAGAGAAGTAGAAAAACAAGCTTTTTTTGCTCTGTGGAAGAGATTTCGTCTGTTTTCCTAATATTCTAGAAATGGTACAAAGAATTTGTAACTTTCCATTGTTGCAACTGATTATTCTCTAATAAAAGAACAGTGGATTTCGAAAAAGTTACAACAAACGACATTTTATAAGAAAAAAAGAAAGAAGAAAACGGTGAGATGTATATAGGGGGCCGGGAATGTGTTTTGTATGTTACAATACAACCTACACGACCCCACAATTCAATTTAAAAATTAAGAAACGGGAACACGTCAAAGAATGCAATTGAGATGTAATACAGTAATACAAATTTTATTTTATAGTTTTGATTTTTTCAAGCTTTTATCGAATAACAAGTTTACAAGTAGTTTATAATTGAGAGCTTCTCTTTATTTCCGTGTTTATTTGTATGCTGCATAACAGCTTGATAAATATCAAAATGGAAATCGAAAGTCGTCTTCATTGTATTGATATATGCGACGACGACTGTTTTTTGAGGCATGATGCATGGGATCGGTTACTTGCATACACTGTGTGAATATAAAGTTTGGTATAACCCTTTGAACATTAACTTTAAATTCTTTTATAATTTGTTTGAAATATCGGATTTTTTCATTGAAAAATGTGACCATTTTAAAATTCCAGCCATAATTTGAATAGTCGTAATTATTACCGTGTATAGCCATTATTTAAAGTGTTTGACAATTCGAAATGGTAGCGAAAATTTAAAATAGTGGCCTTCAATTAAAAAATTGTAAAAATGGCATCATTAGAAAAATGGCAACCAAAATCAAAATAAGCAGCACAACTGGCGGCTTTGTTTAAAGTAGCCGTTACGTTTCAAAATGGCGGTCACATTTCAAGATGACATCCACTTTCCAAAATGGCGGTCACTTTTCAAGATGGCGGTCACTTTTTAAAACGGTAATCAATCTATTATAACTCTTTTTTGTTTATTTCTAGTGCTCTGGAGTACTGTCTTGATGTTGAGAAGTTGAATCTGTCAGCTATACGGACTGTCAGAGTTCTTAGACCACTCAGAGCAATTAATAGAATACCAAGTATACATCTTTAAATACGACTTCAGGGGGCAAATTGGGGTGTTCTAAAGGGTCAGGGGGGCATGGCTCGTTTTTGTCACAATATTCCTTTAAGAATGAACAATTTACATGTATTCTAAAATCTGTTCAATTACAAACTTTGTATTATTTGTAGCTTGCATTGAATTATATTGATTTCAATTTATAATTACTCTTCCCGTTCATATGCTTATTCAATATTCATGAATGGATCCTTTAAATTCGTTATATTGCGTCCATTTGCAAAAGTCATGGTGTACATGTCACAAAACGCCAGTCTTCCCGAGTCAAGATTAACTCCAGAAAACGCACTGTATTTCTGTCTTTTAAACCTAGGGTTTAAGACAGGTCTCTTCAACGCGAGGTTTTACACTTAACTAACTATTTATTGAAACATAAGGTTACAGGTCAAATAGGGTGACCGGCGTGACGGGCACCCAACTAGGACATATATATTTACAAGATTCATGAACGATAAAGTTAATCTTTTATTTGGTTACGAAGTGTGCATGAAATGATAATAGTTATTAGAAGGAATATAGATAAGATATCAGGTTTCCCTGATATAATACTCGGGGATATTTGTTACATACATAGGTAACACAGGAGAGACGTAAAGATTGGGGGGGGGGAAAGAACAAACAAATAATTTACTGCTTTTTTACAAGAAATTATACAACGGATTTAGGAAAATACAGAAATAGATTCTAATGACCATTAATCAAAGATTAGAGGGGTTGTAACTTGCAAGCGCGGAAATAGATTCTAATGACCATTAATCAAAGATTAGAGGGGTTGTAACTTGCAAGCGCGGAAATAGATTCTAATGACCATTAATCAAAGATTAGAGGGGTTGTAACTTGCAAGCGCGGAAGGGGGGGGGGGTATATGGAGTGGATTTTGGTCCTATCCACAATAAAGTTAACAGCCAATGTTATTTCCATATTTGTTATATATAACATATATATATTTTGATCTGGGTTGACTTTTTTCAGTTCCAAGGATAATAGTTCCACCAAAATCAAAAATGACGTACAGCACAATCACTACAAAGTTGTTTTTCTGATACACGAGACAAACTTAAATCTTGCCTCAGTGAGAACCAGAATATCTAATTTGCAACACTAATTTTCAAGTGAATATTAATGCTATTATCAGAATTTAGTATCAGGCATTTTAATTAAATTTGATTAAAAATTTTAAATTATATTTTCTTTTAAATATTTAATCCAACACTTCTGAAAATAAAGACGACGAATATCAGAAAAACATGTTTTGTATCCTATTAAATTTTGTTATAATAAATTAATAACTAAAGCTTTTTTAATTAATAAATTAATTTTTCTGAATTAAAAAAATTTCGTTGTTAACCGGAGAAACGTTAACCCCTGTATTGTTTTAGGTATGCGGATACTAGTGATGTTATTGCTGGATACTCTTCCCATGCTTGGAAACGTTCTTCTTCTTTGTTTCTTTGTATTCTTTATATTTGGTAATATAATCTTCTTCTTATTCTTCTTCTCCTTTGTTTCTTTGTATTTTTTATATTTGGTAATATAATCTTCTTCTTATTCTTCTTCTTCTTTGTTTCTTTGTATTTTTTATATTTGGTAATATAATCTTCTTCTTCTTCTTCTTCTTCGTTGTTTCTTTGTATTCTTCATATTTGGTAATATAATCTTCTTCTTATTCTTCTTCTTCTTTGTATTCTTCATATTTGGTAATATAATCTTATTCTTATTCTTCTTCTTCTCCTTTGCTTCTTTGTATTCTTCATATTTGGTAATATAATCTTCTTCTTATTCTTCTTTGTTTCTGTGTATTCTTCATATTTGGTGACATAACCTTCTTCTTCTTCTTTGTAATCTTCATATTTGGTAATATAATCTTCTTCTTCTTCTTCTTTGTTTCCTTGTATTCTTTATATTTGGTAATCTAATCTTCTTCTTCTTCTTCTTCTTTGTTTCTTTGTATTCTTCATATTTGGTAATATAATCTTCTTCTTCTTCTTCTTCTTCTTCTTTGCTTCTTTGTATTCTTCATATTTGGTAATATAATCTTCTTCTTTCTTTGTTTCTTTGTATTCTTCATATTTGGTAATATAATCTTCTTCTTCTTCTTCTTCTTCTTCTTTGCTTCTTTGTATTCTTCATATTTGGTAATATAATCTTCTTCTTGTTCTTCTTTGTTTCTTTGTATTCTTCATATTTGGTAATATAATCTTCTTCTTCTTCTTCTTCTTTGTTTCTTTGTATTCTTCATATTTGGTAATATAATCTTCTTCTTCTTCTTCTTTGTTTCTTTGTATCTTCATATTTGGTAATATAATCTTCTTCTTCTTTGTATTCTTCATATTTGTTGATATAACCTTCTTCTTCTTCTTTGTAATCTTCATATTTGGTGATATAACCTTCTTCTTCTTCTTTGTATTCTTCATATTTGGTAATATAATCTTCTTCTTCTTCTTTGTATTCTTCATATTTGGTAATATACTCTTCTTCTTCTTCTTTGTATTCTTCATATTTGGTAATATAATCTTCTTCTTCTTCTTTGTTTCTTTGTATTCTTTATGCTTGGTAATATAATCTTCTTCTTCTTCTTCTTCTTCTTATTCTTTGTTTCTTTGTATTATTCATTTTTGGTAAAATGATCTTCTTTTTCTTTGTTTCTTTTGTATTCTAATAGTTTTTTTTCTGATATTTTTTCTTTTCTATATTTTTTATTTACTTTGCTATCTAAATATTTTCCATTTTTTAAGATTGATTTTAGTTATATTTTTTTAAGATGAGAAATTTCCAACGGCTCTTATTTGTCTTTTTTGGTTTACATTAAACATGACAATTTTGTTCATGCTGTTTATTTTATTTATTATTTTTGTTTGTTTAGGAATAGTTGGAGTGCAACTGTGGGCTGGTTTATTAAGACAACGGTGTTATATAGATGATCATTTTCAGGCCAAACTTCTTCATAAACAATATTATAAAGAGTAAGTGAATTAGTTCAGGAGAAATGGGTTAAACTCACTATAAAGTTAATGCCTGGCCAGACATGGTAGTTATTCTCTACAGTACTTCACTCTCAGTCTCAACTACCAAGTCTATAGCCAAACACTTCCTTTAAACTATAATTTCTTAAATTTGTATCTTTGCAAACTTTTGATTTTTCAAATTATAAAGGAATTGAGTCTTTTGAACAAAATCAAATATTTAAACCACAATCTTTAGAACTCGATGTTGTAAACCTTTGATATTTCAAACTCAGATTATTTGATCTAACAGAATTCATAGTTTAAACTACCTAAGATGTGCAACATTTGGTTCCAAAGATATAGTGATTAGAAAATCAGAGTTTGTGGCAAAGACTCAATTCCTTTGTTTTTTTAAATATCAACAGTTATACGATCAAGATATAGTGATAAGAAGATGCTACTTTGAGGCTACGGGATAAGAAGATGCTACTTTGAGGCTACGGGATAAGAAGATGCTACTTTGAGGCTACGGGATAAGAAGATGCTACTTTGAGGCTACGGGATAAGAAGATGCTACTTTGAGGCTACGGGATAAGTGTTTCTCAATCGTACTTTGTTCTTCTATTTATAAGTTCTAAGCTTTGTCAAAAATGTAGCCAAAAGTTGGTTAGTATTTCATCAACTGTAGAAGTTTAGATACAAATTATAAGGTTATTGTTATGGTTGCAGTGCTAATATGAGAGGACTGTTTCCATTTTACTTATAGCTAGCTGTAAATAATAAAGCATAGTTTAACCCAGAATTTTGGAGAAATTGAAAGAATTTTTAAAATGTCGTCTTGACAATTTGTCCATGGGTTTTATGCTATTATACATAAATCTCAGTAATTGTATAAAACTAAATGAATAGCCATGAAATATGAGGGAACAGTTTAAAAGAGCTCGATCTCTTGAAAGAGAATTATTTAATTAAAAAACTAAATATTCGCAGCATTCCATTATCAAACGACAATTTAAAAATACTTTCGGTTCTCCTTGGTTGTGGGTTGAACTGTATAGAAACTGCAGGAGGAGGGAGTAAATTTATTGTTTAAAGTTAGTTCACTATAGTTATCTCCTATTCTCGCTAAATACATTAATTACAAATTTACAACTAGGGCTGGGCTTCTTCTTCATTTTAGAAACGGGTTTGCTCATTTATTATTTATTTCGACATCGTTTATTCTCGTCTCGTTATTAGAAAGTTTATAATGGTTGATAATTTGCAATGATTGGTAATATGAAAATAGTAAAAGTTTCTGAATTCTAATTTCACCAATTCCTATATCTTTGTAACCTGAAAAATTTTTATGAAAGGGAAGGGTTACACTATTAGGTTGCAAAGGTATATAATACAATTGAGGTTGTGGCGAATCAATTCCTTAAAGCATTAAACATTCTCAGGTATTACTGTAAAATTATTATAATATAAATTGTTATCTGAAAACTACAGTTTGAAAAATATCTTAATCTAACATTAAACTTTGATTAATACCCAACCCCAACACTGGAGGCAGCAGCAAACTTAGCAATAATATACAGAACAGACTTCAAAACCAAACATATTCAAACTTCAAACTTCAAACTTCAAACATATTATTATTTATTATTATTTAATTATTCCAATTAAATTGAGTAAAAAGTCTAAATAATTGGGAACATTAAAGGAACTGAGTCTTTGTCACAAAATCAAATATTTTAATGCCTATATCTTTGCAACCTGGTGGTTTAAACCTTTTATATTTCAAACTAGTATTCTTTGATCTAACAGAAATTACAAGTTTGAAATATCCAAGGTCCTCAACATTGGATTGCTCAGAAAATAATTCTGAAATAAAATTTGTATCTAAATGTGCTTGAAAACAGTTAAAATTGAAGGGGAAAGTGAAAGTAAAAGTGAAGGGGAAAGTGAAGGGAAAGTAAAGGGGAAAGTGAAGGGAAAGGGAAAGGGAAAGGGAAGGGGAAAGTGAAGGGAAAGTGAAGGGGAAAGTGAAGGGAAAGTAAAGGGGAAAGTGAAGGGAAAGTGAAAAGGGAAAATATTATTTTGCTACGGTCTTTTATAGATACTGTCAGCGTAACTGCAGGTGACCCTCTATGCAAAGATGACAATGCCCGATTCACTATGGTACCCTTAAAAGCTTTTTCTGTTCAAGTATGAATTAGATATTCATGTGTACAATTTTGAAAACTGATTATTTTTATTTGTGGTTTCTCTCCAAAAGTGATTTGCGCATTTCTGCTGCAGGAAAACATATATTCTATATTATTGATTAGATAAAGGTTTCAAGGGTACTGTTGTGAATAGGAAACTGTAATCTTTGAATGAAGGGACATTTGAAATTATGTTGACATTCCCTTTATCAGAGGAGTCTTGAGTTTGTAACAAAAACTCAATTTCTTTGTGTTTAGGATCCCACATCTACATTTTCAAGTTGAAGAAATGGATCTTCTACCCGACTATATTTGCGCAGTGCCTAACAGGTAAACAACAACAAATGTAAACAAAAAATCCTGGAATCATATACTTCCACAAATCCGGGAAATAAACAGGAGACAAACACAGACAAGAAGAAACACCAAAATCATTTTGAAGAAAAACCGGACAAATCCGGGAAATGTACTGAAAAAAAAACTCAGGCCCTTATTGGATAAAAAACTTGAAGCAAGCCCTGAAAACAAGGAAACTAAACTATGGAAACCCTTGACACGAACCCAAACCATTTTTAAAATTTCTTTTAGATTCTAGAAGTAGTGGAAAAAACTATTTCTGGAAGAAAAACGAGAGCATTACTCAAGGCTAGTACTAGAAACGGTTTCAAATATTTACGGCTTTGTAAATTAGGAAAAATCCTGAAACCAGGGGAGCGGAATCATGGAAGAAAACTTTGCCTAATATATTCTAGAGGATCAGAGAAATACTTAAAAGCAATCTTAGACAGTTTCATGGGAACATCCCTCTTTTGGAAAAAGTGGCTGATTTTAAATGGACTGACCCAGACACAAAGTCGAAGCAAGTCCCGAAAACTCAAACATTTCCTGGAAACTAAATTTTTAAATAAATTGTGTAAATTAGCCCAAAGACAAATCTAAGAAAGAAACAGTTCACGGAAGTAAGCTAACAAAAATTCAGGACAAAACTAAACAAACCTTAACAAGAAAGTGTAGAACAAAAAACAGAAAACAAACTTACAAAAATCCAGGCCAAAAAAATCCTAAAAAGAATACAAAAAACCAGAAACCAACAAAAAATTGTTTATTTATGATTTTTGTAAATCTTTGATTTTAATATTTGTAGTTATGGAATGCATAAATGCAGTCAGCTGCCCCCCTTCAAGATGAATGGAGAGGAATGCACTGAAGGTGCAACTGCTTTAAAGTATAATAAATCAGCTTGTGTAAACTGGAATCAGGTAAAATTTTCTTGTTCAAAACTTAGTTTATTTTTGCAGAAAATTAAAATATCTATTTAGATAAGGAAATTAAGCAACATTTTTCAGTAGGATATACGGTAAAAATTGTATGACAAAAATACCTTTTTAAAGTTAGTATTTTTTAAATGTAAAATTTTATTCAAAACACATTTGGAAATTGATATTTTTGGATCTTTAAATGTCTTCACCCAAATATTAGGTATTGTACGATTTTATGATTTGTAAAAAGGGCTGGCCAAGAATCAACTTTTTATTATTAATATTTCGTTATATTTATCGTGTCGTAATTATTTATGATAATTATTATTGAAGTTATTCTAACTTTTATGAAATAAACTTTTTCCATTATTAGTAAATATGTATTTACCTTTTGGAATATACAATTGTTATACAATTGTTATACAATTGTTTTACAATTGTTTTACAATTGTTTTACAATTGTTTTACAATTGTTATACAATTGTTTCACAATAGTTATACAATTGTATAACAATTGTGAAGTTTCCTTTGAGTTGTTTGTTTACACCCAACTTGTTTGCAGTACTTTACCAAGTGTACAACTGGCCCCAGCAATCCTTTCCATGGAGCTATTTCCTTCGACAACATTGGTTTAGCTTGGGTAGCAATATTCCTGGTCAGTATTTTATATATTTTAAATATCTACAGGGTGACCCACAAAGGATAAGACTTAAATGACGACCTAAAACACTATAATTTCTATAAAAGAGAAGGATTTATTTGTTTTAATGTCGGTTTGTACATGCACTGTACAGTACTTCACATGAACCAAACTAAATGACGTGATATGTTTTTTTTTCCTGTCTAGAATATATTTTTAATAAATTTGTCTGTCTGCCTATTTGGGTTTTTGGCTGATTGTCAGTGTCCAATAAACGACATTAAACGGCTGGAACAATCGGGCCCAATTTTTTTTTGATGACCTTAGGGAAGGTTTATGGACAGTAAAGTTTTAAAAAGTTTGACTGGAAATAATTTCAACATATTATTAATTGGCAGAATACCATTAATTAAAGAACAAATACAAAAGTCGTCTGTCAAGCCTCATCCTCCGTGGGTAACAGTGTATTATCAAGTTTAACAAAGTACTTATAGTATTATTATCAAAGCATGGAATTTTTTATCAAGTATATTACATATTTTGGTCCATAAACTAAATATATAAATTTCAAAAAAGTATCTATAAAAATAATTTGCTTACGTTTGCATTGGTATATTTTATTTTTTTTTTTAATGGAAAATTTCAAAACTATACTTTTATCTTATTTTAGGGTTTTAATTTTACATAACAAGAAAATCTTTAATGTCTTTACTTATATTCTTTTTTTTTTTGCATCCTTTTGCAGTATTCACGTAAAATCCTATATATCCATTTCCAAATGGTAATTCTGGGAGTGATCTATAAAATATTAATTTCATTGTAAAAATTTTAAGTTACAATTGATTTTAGTATTGTTAAACTTTTAAAAACTGTTTAGGTAATATCTTTGGAGGGTTGGACGGATGTGATGTATTTTGTCCAAGATGCTCATTCATTCTGGAACTGGATCTATTTTGTCATGCTTATTGTGGTAAACATTTACAATACTTGTTCACGAAAACTTCAAAGAGCAGAGTTGTATCCCACTTAATTGTTTTCAGGGACAGTTAAGGAACTTAACATCTGACTGGCACTGATTTGGGAATCATGGGCTGATAATGTTGGTTTAAAGGCCGTTAAAACCTGTTCATCGCGAAGAGAGATACAAGTTTAAAATAAAATTCAGTAGTAAGATATCTCTCCAACTGTTTTCATACAAAAAATGTCATCTTAAAATAAGGAAAAATGTATCAGCACTGCAAACAGCTAAAAGCGAACCTCCAAGGCCCCTAAAAACGCGATAAATTTTGATTGGCATAAACGATCATAATGCAGATTGCAGAAGACATTTTTTAACTGTGTCATTGCAAATATTTAAAATTTTATCTTGTAATTATTCTAGATTGGATCCTTTTTCATGATAAACCTGTGTCTGGTTGTTATTGCAACTCAGTTCTCTGAGACAAAACGACGAGAGACCGCAAAGATGAAAGCAGAACGAGCTAAATTTACATCGTCTTCAACACTGTCGTCCTTTACAAACAGGTAGTAAATATTGTTTTTAACAAACAGGTAGTAAATATTGTCCTTTACAAACAGTTAGTAAATATTGTCTTTTACCAACAGGTAGTAAATATCGTCTTTTACCAACAGGTAGTAAATGTCGTCTTTTACAAACAGGTAGTAAATATTGTCTTTAACAAACAGGTAGTAAATATTGTCCTTTACAAACAGTTAGTAAATATTGTCTTTTACCAACAGGTAGTAAATATCGTCTTTTACCAACAGGTAGTAAATGTCGTCTTTTACAAACAGGTAGTAAATATTGTCTTTAACAAACAGGTAGTAAATATCGTCTTCAACAAACAGGTAGTAAATATTGTCTTTTTTAAACAGGTAGTAAATATTGTTTGTAACAAACAGGTAGTAAATATCGTCTTTAACAAACAGGCAGTAAATATCGTCTTTTTTAAACAGGTAGTAAATATCGTCTTTAACAAACAGGTAGTAAATATTGTCTTTTTTAAACAGGTAGTAAATATTGTTTGTAACAAACAGGCAGTAAATATCGTCTTTTACCAACAGGTAGTAAATATCGTCTTTAACCAAAAGGGTTTATGCAGGGTCACCCACAAAGGATGAGACTGTAAAGACGACTTGAAACTCATAAAATATGAAGAATACAAAGATAAATTAACATTGTCTTTTAATGGCCTATTTATTGACATGGAAACGAAAAAAAACAGTTTAAAGTTGCAGATAGTCTGAAATATAAGAAAATAGACAGTATAAATCTTGTACAGCCTCGGAAGCCTCTACCTTGGTGGAAAAACCCTGTAGTAAATATCGTCTTCAACCAGCAGGGTTTATAAGTCACTAAATTTACTTTATCAACCAAGAATTTTTAAACCCTATCTAAGAACATTTCAATGGTTCTAAACTTCCAATGAGTTCCCCAATCAAAGTACGATGCATATAGGCCCAGAAGTTTATTTTTAATTGATTCTTAATAAATAGAATAGAGTAGGATTACGAAAATAATGATAAGAAATTCCGAAAATATGACGACCCTACTTAGTAAAATAACTAAAATGGTCCTGGAATGGTTCCATAAAAACAATTTCAGCTTTCAAGCCAGTTTTCGCATTTTTTAATGCAAATTACAACCATGCCAAAAGGGCTTACTATTCGCCATTCGGTCATGCTTTAAAAATATTTTGCAGCTCCTTTTTACAGTTTCTGCAAACGTCACCCAATGGTAAAGGTCGTCTTTCTTTATTGAGTATTTTTTCTAAAATAGCACACCCACTAAGTAAGTCGTCTTCCTTATAACAGTAACAAATGTCGTCTTCTGTTTTTAATGTTTGTAAATATTTCAGCGAAACCACGAACTTGTATCGAGAGATTATCCGGCTGATTTATCATCTACTACGGAGAGCATACAATAGAGCGCATAGATTATACAGGGTAAGTTTTCTTCTTTTTATCTATAGACTTTACAGACGTCTGAACGAATTCATTCATTCAATCTTAAAATTCTTATTCATTTTTCCATCCTTACATCTTTAAGCTTGTTTATGTGTTTGCAAAATCATTGATAATGCCACCAAAAACAAAATTAAATCTTCTGGTCGTTATATTTATAATACATAATATTATATTTATAATACAGCCAATCTCATATAAAAGAATACAAAGTAAAAACGTATGAAATGTCGTCTTGAAATTTATTCTAAAATGCATGACAGCGGTTATGCTTTTTAATTGGTCTGCACAAAAACAAAGCTGCTGAGATGTTTGCAGCTTCAAAAAATTTAAAATGATTAATGAAAATATCGTCAAATATCATTGTTTTTTTGATAATTTCTACGAAACTTCTTTTTATTTTTAATTCAAGGTAAATTAATAGCCCTGAAATATATAAGACAACAATTGATAAAGTAAACTCATTTCTCCGCGGCATTTGATCTTAAATATGTTGAGAATACGACATTATAGAAAACTCTTGCTATGTATTCATATATCTGGGATTCACTGTAGTTAATCAGGTTGTCATTAAAGCCTTATTTTTTGTGGGTGACCCCGTATCTCTAAAACTGTAGTAGATTCCTAGATTGATTAAGTTATAAAATATTGTATTAAGCATCATGATGATTTATGTGGTCAAGGTTTATATTTGAGTTTTGATTTACAACTAGCTTTTTCCAAATTAGCAAGTCAACAAAGAGAAGCTTTGTTTCCATGTTTGTTTCCATTTTTATATATATTCATGCTGTTTGAAAGATTGGTACAAATTGAAAAATTGAACTTGAAAGTCGTCTTTATTGTATTGATACGACGATAAATGTACGTAACATTGAAGTTTGAAGTATATCAACGTTTGGCATTATCTTTAAAATCGTGTTAAATTCTGAATTTAATATATTTTTACTCCTTGGCGTTTACTTTTAAAGGTTGAGACTTTCTGGTAACATCAAACCCTGTACATATTACGATTGAAAGGCCAAAGGAATTAAGTTCTTGGCCAAGACTCAAATTTTCTAAACCCTATATCTTTGCAACCTGATGGTCTGAACCTTCGATATTATAAACATAGATTATTTGATACAACAGGATTTTATAATTTGAAATATCTAAGGTCTACGACAATGGGTTGTAAAGATATAGGGATTAGAAAATCAGAATTTGTGGCAAAGAATCAATTCATTTGATCCTCTGTTTGAATATAATCTTCTTTAAGTATAATAAACAATAAAACAATGTAAGAAGAAAGCTGTGGAATGAAAATCGTATATCTTACTCTTATTATTTGCCGTTTGGTTTTTGTAATTTGTAACTAATTGTTTTCTTTAAGATATGCATTCCTTTATAAAAAGCTGGTTTTTTGGTATGCAACAATTTTCATTTAATCCCGCCGGGATATTTTCATTGAAAGATACTTTGAAAATCTACAAAGGCAAAAAAAAATCTGCAAAATCCGCAAGCCCTCGGGTTTATCATTGATTCCCTCGGGGGTTAAAATTTCCATTGATTCTAATTTGTCTGACAGTAAATTATACATTTATAATTATTAGTTACAGCTTCATTACCAGCAAAGCAATAAGTTTAGCTTTTTATAATGTGGATTTTTAAGCCACCATTTTCCCAGAAAACTGGTTCAAGCTGACACAGTATATTTTGTCCTTGTCGTTTCAGCTTAAATGGGACAAATTCCCGAATACACCCCTGAGCAATTATTTTAGGCGGTTCGGGCTCGGAGGCTGGCGTACAAAGAGCGTAAACTGTTGGCACAGCAAGCGGATAATCAAGGGAAAACCTACAATGTTATGAAGAATGTGTCAACACACTCAATGATCAACGCAAACGATGGAGAATTGGATCTTAGATTAGAACTGGAAGATATAGGTAACAATCTTCAATCTTTTTTCAATGATATATCTTTTAACCAAAAATCACATTTTCTCTCTAAAGATTCATCAAATATCTGATAAGCTGAAAGACCCGACGTTGCCTGTAGCAAAAAAAAATATGAAAAAAAACATTGTAAATTTTAAAATAGCATTTTCGATTTTTTTTTAGCCTTGTCACCACGAGACTACCCATGAGTGTCCACAAAATATGTCAGCCCATTCGGTCCAGCCGTTTAGCCGGCTATAAGGAACTTATATATGAATGGTTTTATTATATAGATTAATTCAATTATGATAGAGAAACATAACTTGATCAAAATATGATCAGAAGGTACATTTATTCATAAAACTGGAGAACCAAATAAAAAATACAGACACACGCCGAACTAAAGTAAATTGCACATAGGGTTCAAATCTTATATTCTGCAACTTCCTTTTTTTAAAGTTATTGAGAAGAACAAAAATGTTTAGAATTTCTTATATGTAACCAAAAAATGAACTTTTCTCATACATGTCCGTAAAATCAAAACCAGAGCTGCTACGAGGTCATACAGTTGTACCAGTTATGTCGCATCATTTGACCTTCTTCTCCTGGCTAGTTTGCTGTGTACAGAGTAGAGATGTCAACGTTTTGATTTTTCTAGATTTTAGCTTTCGTTACGATAGTGTTCATCAAAAGTATTAACGTTTGAAACGTTACGTTGCACATTTTGAAATTTTATGGTATAGAGTAACGTTACGTAATGAATTTTCTGCACTTGAATACCTTATACAACGTTAAGCTTTAGTAAATGTTATTGAAAAAAACAGTAAGCTCCGTTACGCTTTTGCATTTGATGTTTTAAAAACTTTCCCAACGTTGCGTAAAAGCTTATGTAATATAACCACAATTTTTTAACGTTCNTATCTACGCAGTACAAGGAAATTAAACAATATATTGTAGGTATCTACGCAGTACAAGTAAATTAAACAATATATTGTAGGTATCTACGCAGTACAAGGAAATTAAACAATATATTGTAGGTATCTACGCAGTACAAGTAAATTAAACAATATATTGCAGGTATCTACGCAGTACAAGGAAATTAAACAATATATTGCAGGTATCTACGCAGCTCGCGGACTAGAATCTCCTCCAGTAAATTATGCTGAGAAAACTACACAAACAGATCTGTTTCAGCCCCTTGCCAATGTAAGTATATATTATTTTATAGACCAACCTGGAATAAAACAAGCTCTTTTTAAATGGATATATTTAATCAGTTATTCCCAGTAAACATGACCATGGAGAGCCGACTGAAATATTGTCTTTGATATACTTACTGAATATTTGTGTGTAAAAGACGTTTTACGACAAAATACCAATTTAACTCGTATGTTCCGCAAAATCTAGATATTGATGTATCTATGTTCCGCTAAATCTAGATATTGATGTATCTATGTTCCGCTAAATCTAGATATTGATGTATCTATGTACCGCGAAATCTAGATATTGATGTATCTATGTACCGCGAAATCTAGATATTGATGTATCTATGTTCCGCTAAATTTAGATATTGATCTATTTTATGTTCCGCTAAATCTAGATATTGATGTATTCTATGTTCCGCTAAATCTAGATATTCATGTATCTATGTTCCGCTAAATCTAGATATTGATGTATCTATGTGTTTTCACAATCCTACACTCAACAATATTATTCCAATCAAATTATTTAGAGGAGAAAATAACAAGAGTAAAGGGACAGTTTATACTTTTACTCTTGTTTATTAAAATACAGAGAAGAAGATTGCATTTTCAACGAGTTCCTTTCTTAATCAATCTTTATTCCTATAATCTAAATTCTACTATACAAGTTGACCCACAAAATAATAAGACTTCCAAAAGACGATAATGGAAGTATATGGATGAATGTATTGTAGGATGATGGATGTATATGGATGAATGTATTGTAGGATCATGGAAGTATATGGATGAATTTATTGTAGGATGATGGAAGTATATGGATGAATGTACTGTAGGATGATGGATGTATATGGATGAATGTATTGTAGGATAATGGAAGTAGGTGGATGGATGAATGTATTGTAGGATAATGGAAGTATATGGATGAATGTATTGTAGGATAGTGGAAGTATATGGATGAATTTATTGCAGTATAATGGAAGTATATGGATGAATGTATTGTAGGATAATGGAAGAGAAAGTATACTGTCGCCTAATGGAACAAGTCCCTGTAACCATCCAACATTATCTTGCCAGGTTCCTTGGATATTTTATTCCATAGATTTTAGGGTCTTTAAAAAAACTGTGTTTTTTAAAATGTGGTTCGTTTACATTTGAACTTTTTGAAGTTTCTGATATCTCTGTCATTTATATTATTTTTTTTGTTGTATTTCAAGATTGATTTCAGATCAATCGAAGGCTAATTCAATCTTCACTAAATTGGATGTGTTTTATGATAATTCTTTCATAAAATATGCCTTTTGTCCTTTTAAAAACATTGACCTTTACTTACAGTATTGAATTATCTTTGTTATGTTTACTTGATATCTAAAAGATTCCTAGGCAAACAGACGACAAAATTATATATATATATATATATAAATGTTTATGCTTACCCTAGGAATTGTTGGAGATGTCTACACCTATAACTGGTTCTACTGCAGTACAATTAGTCTTTGATAAGAAGAATCTAAAGTATTGTTCAACCTTCAACCTGGCAGAGGTAAGCTGAAACCAATGTGTGGAGAACTAAGGTGGAGGGGGTAAGCTGGAACTATGATGTGTAGAGCTAAGGTGTAGACTGTAGGCTGGAACTATGATGTGTAGAACTAAGGTGTAGACTGTAGGCTGGAACTATGATGTGTAGAACTAAGGTGTAGACTGTAGACTGTAACTATGATGTGTAGAACTAAGGTGTAGACTGTAGGCTGGAACTATGATGTGTAGAACTAAGGTGTAGACTGTAGGCTGGAACTATGAAGTGTAGAACTAAGGTGTAGATTGTAGGCTGGAACTTTGATGTGTATAACTAAGGTGTAGACTGTAGGCTGAAACTATGATATGTAGAACTAAGGTGTAGACTGTAGGCTGGAACTATGATGTGTCGAACTAAGGTGTAGACTGTAGGCTGGAACTATGATGTGTTTAACTAAGATGTAGACAGTAGACTGGAACTATGATGTGTAGAACTAAGGTGTAGACTGTAGGCTGTAACTAGGATGTGTATAACTAAGATGGAGACAGTAGACTGGAACTATGATGTGTAGAACTAAGGTGTAGACTGTAGGCTGGAACTATGATGTGTAGAACTAAGGTGTAGACTGTAAGCTGGAACTATGATGTGTAGAGCCAAGGTGTAGACTGTAGGCTGGGACTATGATGTGTATAACTAAGGTGTGGACTGTAGGCTGGGACTTTGATGTGTAGAACTAAGGTGTAGACTGTAGGCTGGAACTATGATGTGTAGAACTAAGGTGTAGACTGTTGGCTGGAACGATACTATGTTAACTTTTAATTGAAATTAGTTTGAAAACTATATAACAAGGTTTATAATTATCTTACGTCTCTAACAACAGGTTTAAAAATATATAACAAGGTTTAAAATTATCTTGTCTCTCTTACAACAGGTTTAAAAATATATAACAATGTTTATAATTATCTTACTTCGATTACAACTGGTTAAAAATCAAGCTGCAAGAGCTATATGGTCGGAAAGTTTACTGAAATCATTATCCCGTGTAAACCCCAAGTCACCCTCTTCCGACTTAAAGTTGACTTTTATCATGCGGAATTAGTAGACTAAAAGTACATGAATCATAAGTTGTGTTTCTGACTTTTTGGGCCTCGATCACCAACAATCTAGCTATACCTCAAAACGGAAAGGATCTGGTTTCATACTCATCTCTGTGCATTACCCCCCATCATAAATCATCATGTTGCCATGTGTTTATTTTTAGTAGCTGCAGCTGCTAGCTGACAGCTTGGACAGTTTGCTAACTTATTTAGTCTCTTTCAGGTTGATTAAAAGCTAGCTTTTTAAATTTAAAAAGCTAGTGTAAATACACGTCAATTTGAATTATCAGCGTTTAGATGTCACTCAGATAAAAGCATGTCATTGATAAGCGCCTCCTAAGGTTGCCCGTAACCAGTTCTTTTCGGAAATGATTACTTTATTCAGTGTAAACATTTCACCATAGAGCTAGTTATAAATTGATATGATTATTAAAGAGTCTTAAAAGATATATAAAACATCCTGAGAGAAAATTCAGTGCATTTTCTTAATGAAATTATTATATTTAGAAAAAATTTAAATTTTTTTAAACCCAAATCTTCACTTCTAAATTATAAACTTTTATTAAGAAAATTGAATCTTAAAATTTCTTACTTTTTTAGTTTTACGGAAAACTTTTAGAGACACCTAGTGGTGAAAATAGAAACTAAAAAGATTCAAGTTTTGAGTCAACAGCTTGTATATTTTACAAACACACAAAATCACACATGCACAAACATATGCATATGTTAACAGAGTGCTGGGGTAAGGGGGGGGGGTAGAGGAGGGGAAATTTTCTCACAGCTGGAAACATATCTGAAATTTGATCCGGATGTATCATGAGGGGTAACTTTTTTCTATCTAAATTAGACATCTAGCCAATAATGGGGAAAAGGGAAGCAGCATATTGGAGGGGTAACACATGTGTTAATTATAAAGGAAATATTGAGCTATAACTTTCTTGGTCGGGTTGTCAGCTAAATTATACATCCAGGCTAAAAATGGAAATAGGGAAGTAGGGGGGGTAGTGGGGGGGAAATATATTTACAAAATTGTATCAAGTTACCGAGATTCCATGCTTCATCTTGATTTTGTCGACCAGTAAGTTAGGAAAGTCGCAGTAGTCTATGAATTAGACCTCTTGGGTTTACACGGGATGTGGAGCAGAAATAAGTAAAAATAAATAATAATCTTTTCATGAAAAAAACTTGTGTTGATTAGCATCAAAATATAATAAATTCATATATATAATTTGTTTATTAGCTAAACAATATTCTATCAATGAGTAAGTAAGATTATTAAGATAAATATGGTCTCCTGAGGGATAGTATTCATCTTTTTTATAATAAGGTTAAACAAATGTTGGTATTATAAAGGGAATTTTCTATCACGGAACTAATATCTTTTCCTTTTTTTCTTTAATTATCCATAATGAAATATCACTCCTGTATGTCATTAGCGCCTGATCCAATCAGGGTTCAAGTTATGTGTTTGTTGTCTATTCTCAACCAATAGAAATAGTATGGTGGTAACATCTATCTTTTTATCTAGCGCATTATCCAATTAGAGATAAATCCTTATATCGGCGCTATAACAGTAAATGGAAATATTTACTTCTACTGAAACTATAAATCTTTGCCACAAACTCAATTTATAATCCTTATTTCTTTGCAATCTGATGGTGTAAATGTTTGATATTTTAAAATCAGGCTATTTGATCTAAAAGAATTCAAATTTTGAAATATCTAGGTCTAGGTCTACGACACTGGTAGCAAAGATAAAGGGATTAGAAAAATATATGAAGTTTAAAAGTTTTAGTGTTCTAATGTCAGTTGTTTTCAAGTTTCTTAGAAAAACACAGGGGGGGGGATGGAAAGCACTACCCTCTCCCCCAATCTTGATGGGGTAAAAACACAGGGGGGGGGGGATGGAAAGCACTACCCTCTCCCTCAATCTTGATGGGGTAAACCGCTAATAAATGGATATTTCTCAAGGTAATGAACAGCGAGGATCAATCAGTTATCTACAATCTAGGCAGTCAACTTGATCTTATTACACCTACTCAGAAGAAACCAATGTTTAGGTAAGGACAAGATGCACAGTTTATTCTAAAATTAGGTTGTCTTTGACGCGATTTAATTTTTAACTAATCTAATCTGGATAATTTGTATCGACGGAACAAACTTGCATTTTCATTCTTCAAGTGCTATAGAATAACTGCTCGAAAAACTAAAATTGTTATAAAATTGTCTATAAATCTAAACTAAAGCACTGTTACAACCTTTAATTATCAACGTTTAAATATATACATACTGTATTTTCTTTATCAAGTGAAGAATGTCTACATAGACAACTAGCTAAAGTACCCGGCGTTGCCCGTGGAATTTAAAAAAACCCTTGAAATAACATTTCATATTTTGAAAAAAAATTATTATTAAATAAACAGGGCAATAATTTTCTATTTTCTGAATCGTTTTACCTTAAGAAATGAGCTAAAATTTTTGGCTTTATGCATGGGGGCATTATTTTCTGATTTTATTTTTATTTTGGCATTATTTCTGTACTTATTTTTGAAGGGTCACTTAGGATTTCGTTTTTTTATTCCATTTGAAATATATGAACTTTATTGTTTAGATGTTTGGCTGGTGTAAAGAATGGTATTTGTGGATTTGTAAACTCAGTCAGTTCTTGTCTAAACAGGAATATATAAATATATACATAAACAATATATAATTAATATATGTATAATAAAATATAACATAAAATTATATGGCTAGACTAGGGTTTTAGAGCGCTTTGCGCCCATATTCTATTTAAATTTTGAGCATGTTCTCTTTGTATACATTGTAAAACAAAAACAAAGATGAAATTCGCAGATTTTATAACAAAATTCGGTTTTTGTTAGAGGCAATTTTTTGAAAATTTGATTATCCATAGACCTTTCCTTTCACGAAGGTCCCACAAAAAAAGGCCCGATCGGTTTGGCCATTTTAACGTTTATTGGATACAAACAAACAGACAGACAAGCAAAGTATATTTAGATGTAAAATAGATAAAAACATTTTAAATATTCATTTTTGTGGTCTTCTATTTACAATGTTTAAAATGAATGCGTGACATTGCCAAAACAAATTGGCATTTTCTCTGAAACAAATCCCATAAAATTAATGAAAAACCGAGAAGAAAAGAATTAAATAAATAATAAAGAAACTGCCAGAAACAAGTGAAATAAGCAAAATAACTAATAATCGAATGAAGAAGAAATAAATACTCAAATTAAATTATAATTTTAAATAATTCAATATTTCAAACTTTGAGAATTTTAACTATAAGAAATAAAAGTGTCCAGATGCCAAGATGTAAGGACTTTATTTTAGATAAGAATGTTTCAAAAACAATTTATAAATTAAGAAAATAGAATATTTTAACTGAAACATTCTATACCTAAAAACATTTTCTTATTCAACCCTATTTTGATAATCATTGCATATGCTATTTTTGTAAAATATATAAAATATTTAATTTAATATCTAATAAGACTGGTAGATCACAATATATATATAATATCTAATCAGACTGGTAGATCACAATATTTTCCAACAAGGAATCCTTCTCTGCATTTTCATCAATACTTTCAGGAATCAAAATTAAACGCAGTATCAGAAAAATTAGGTTTACAACCTATATAAGGAATAAAATTTAAAACATATTTTTTCCAAAAATTGTTATTGTTATTTCTACACAGTGCTAAATAATATTTTCAACACTAGAAAATTATCAAAAAAATATTTTCGATTTGTTCACACAAATAAACCATGTTTATTTTTTCCTTTGAACATTTTATTATTAGACCCTTTTCTCATTCATTTCTTCTTTATCAGCGAGTCTGGTTCAAAACGTACCCTTTTGTACCATTGTGCTATTTAGTGCAATATATTCGTGGCTGAATGCAATTGAGACCGGTGTGAATTTCCTAGACCACTAATTTGATATATTTTACATATTACAGCCTCCCTAAACCTTTTACAACATACTTTGACCAGCAAAACAGCAAACTCACTTCGACTCAATTTAAATGGAAATAATATTAAATCTCATAAAATAAAAATACAAGTCATTCTCCATAATATGTTGAATTCAATCCAATTTATTAATCAATTTTATAGATTGTGGTTGATGGGGGGGGGGGGGCTAGAAAACTTAAAAAACGTTGGTCTCTTCCAAGGTTGTATAAAAAGGTTGGTTACTCTCGATGCGCTACAATTTACGGAAAATGCCGTCTCCCAAGATAGATAAAAACCTCATATGCCGTCACTTTCGCCTCTATATTCCTAGATGACGACATTTTCCGTACATTGGAACCCATCGAGGATAACCAACCTAATGATACAGCCATGGTCTCTCCCTTTAAGAGAAGTTTTCAACAGATGAAGAAACATTTTATATAATTATTCTCATTAAAGATATTATTTTCCTTCAATTATGTTTCTGTACCAGATACTTTGCGATGATCTTATTTAAAAATATTTCTCAGAAATGATGTTTTTATAATTACTCCTAATGTTTGAACTGGTTACAGTATGGGAATAGAGTACCACGATCAACCGGTTACATTAACAAAGGTAATGTTTTTTTTTCAAATTCAAAAAACTGTTTGTTTTCAAATCTTTAAATATTTTTTTTATTTCGTGGTTAAAATAAGCAATGTGGAGGCCTAAAAGATAATATTAAAAGTCCAGTTCAGGGCAAAAATACTCCTCCCTTGAAATGTTGCCTAATTAGAAATGCATATTGCTATTTAATAAAATATTAGAAACTCGTCATTTTATTTCTGAAAGAAAACCTATGATTAGATTTACCTACGAATGAGTAAAAAGAAAAAAGTAAAAATATGAATGCTTCTGATTGACGTGGCATCAGATGTGATCTTTAGAAAAAAAAGTTAAATTGAAAATTTAAATTTTTAATACTTCAAAATTAGTTTTTCAAAGTTTGATTTTTGTTCCATTTTTCCATTTAGCTTTCAGATTTTTAAAAAGATAAATTTTTTTCCCAAGAAATTTTTTTTCTTAAAAATTAAAGGAAAATATAAATCTGTTGTTAGGTTGTGGAAATCTCGAATCTTGCTTTTTCAATAATATTTTCGGTGGAAATGCTTCTGAAGATTTCAGCCTACGGGATCCCCAAGTATTTAAGTGATGGATTTAATGTCTTTGATGGGTTCATCGTCATTCTCAGGTGAAACAATAATAATAATTTCACTCCACTCGAATAAAACAGCTGAATGTCAGATTTACAATTTTTAAATTTCTACATCTGAGTGACATTAAAGAAGATATCGTGGTTTTATTTTCAATTTTAAAAAATGTGTAAAAGGAACTGAGTTTTTGCCACAAACCTAAAATTTTCTAATCCCTATATCTCTGCGACCAGAAGGTGTAACCCTTAGATATTTCAAACTTGGATTATTTGACCTAACATAATTCATAGTTTGAAATATCTCAGGTCTACGACATTGGATTAAAAACATATCAGGACTTGAAAATCAGAGTTTGTGGCAAAGACTCAAATCCTTTGCACATTTTTTTCTGCAGCATAAATGTTGTAAGTTATTTGAGCAGAGTGCACAAAATAAACAAAATCATTTTTCAGTTAGAAAAATAGGAGTTTCTTTTTCATCAAAAGGTTAACAGTTAACTACTGTGAATTCTATATGCAATTAAATTAATGAATAGTACTATAAAATCACGTTTTAATATAACTGAAAATCGGCTTGCAACGTTGCGTCTATATATAAGGAGAGAATGGTTAAAAGCGACTCAGCGTAGAACTGATGAGGCGTCAACAACCATTTTCTTCTTATAGACGCGCAATAGATAGAGTAAATTTAATAGGGATCAAACCCAAATTCAATTCGGGATTAGCCTATCCCCCCTTTCATTTTTCGTGAACACTCCGTTAAAGTAGTAATCTCTATTCATCTGTTTGGATGTTTTTCATAACTAAAGCTTTTTCATTGATTTGTCTCAAATTTTGATAGAGGGGAACTCAATAGAACCACGGAAATGTTCTTAGCATAGCTTGGTAAAAAAGATACCTAATTATTGTCGAAGTTCGTGAAATCAATACTCTCTTGTTTTACAAATAATGTATTTTGAATGGGTATACATACTACTTTTAAATAATTGTTATATTTGAATTGTTAAAATATTGTTTATTAAGTGGTTTTGAGATCTATAACGGAGTAGTCAACGGAATCTCAAGCGAAGGTTCTGGACTATCTGTTCTTAGAACTTTTAGACTTCTCAGGTTACTTTTTTAAATGTTAAGTGTTTTATCAACAGATTTTAGCAGTCTTTCCGTTTTCAAAATATTGTCTTTATTTTAAAATATTCATTTGTTAATTTGAAAATAAATATAACAGATTGAAATATCAAAAAATTAAATTTTTGTAGAAAATTGCCAAATTTTTAGTTTGATTTTTGACAGACCTTCATGACAGTTGAAAGATGATCTCAAGATCGTTTTTGATCTTTGATAACTATCTTTAGCCGATAAACAGCGTGTCAAAAAAAGATTGTAAAATCTAGAAGCTTTAAAAATGTTTTGTACCTCTAACTTAGTTTAACAAGGGGCAAGTTACTCATTTTTATTCACTTAATTAGGTAGACGGAGGAATGCCGCAACAATTTCAAAGATCAAAGACGACCTTTAATTTCGTCGTTTGGAACCTCTGTCATATTTAGAGGGAACCCCTGTATCTGAATATCTTAATATTAAATATTTTTCATTTTGCTGTGTTGGACTTCTATATTGTCTCGCTTATTATTGTTTAATGTATTTTATATCCCTATAATGGATCACGGTTGGATTGGTCACAGGGGTGTACGAGGGGGGGCTCAACATCTTCTATCCTCTCGAACGCACCTGATTGGTCAATGGTTAATACAGAAAGAAATTGAGTTTTTGCAGCAAGGTCAAATGTTCGAATCCCTATCTAATCCCTATCTGCATCCTGATGGTGTAAACCTTTGATATTTCAAACAGTTATATTATTTGATCCGACAGATTTCATAGTTTGAAATATCTAAGGTCATTTGGCTGCACAAATTTAAGTAAATGTGGTAAAGACTTAATTCCTTTAGCTGTAATTGAGACCACCTTGCAAAAATGATCAAGTCATCCATGTTTTTCTTTTATCCAAAAATTGCAGTTCAATGTGAAAGTTACATGATTAGTGAATAGTGAGCAGAGAAAATATCAAAACTTAGCAGGGAAATTATATCTTCCTATTTTGTCCATGGGGGATATATCACTTTTAAGTTTATTTCTTCATATTCTCGGTTAATGAATACTCTGTGCAAGCTAATTAAAACTTAAACAATGGAAAAGGGAGAGCTAAATCAACCCTATTCCTGCTGGGGGGTGGGGGGTCAAGTTGACCCCCCTGTAGTGTTTTTTGCATAACTCAAAAAGTATTGGACTTAGGCTGTCGAAATTTTATGACTTTTCCTACATACCTAAAGCCCTCCCTTTAGCCTAAAACCGGGCTTTAATACTAACTGCCTGAGTCCTCAGGCACACTGCCTGAATGACTGCTTTTCCTGAAACAAACTAAATCCTTGTTTTGACCCACTTCTACTTGTCAGATTTTGATAAAATTTAGCTTTTTGGAAAGCCTTTGACATAAAGAAACGAATCGCACAAGTTTTGCGAAAAAAAATTGCAAATTTTTGCAAACAACCGGCCTGTCAAAGGAAGTTTGCACATTTTTAGTTTTTTTTCAGGTTATTTAAAATTTGCAATTTTTTTGCATATTTGAAATGGCATGGTCAAGGGCTTTTCAAAAATGTGTAATTTTTCATTTTTTTGGACAGAGTTTTTTTGCAAACATTTTACTATATAACTGGATTTTGCGATAAAAAATTCAACTTTTGCAAATTTGCAATTTTTTTTGCAGATTCTTAAAGTAGAGTACAAGAGCTTTCCAATGATGTATCATTTGTCATATTTGGACATCAAACATGGGATTTAGACAGCATATCCTGGTTTTCAAGTACCCCAACAGAGATAGGGTTAAACTGGTTCAATGCGTATCAAACAAAATCTGGTTCGAAGTTTGAACTGGTTTCAAATATGAACTATCAAAGAATGGTTCATTACACTTGTTTTGGTCGATTTGAAGTACAGATTAAAGCTTAGCTGAGTTTGATTTGCTAAAGCATACAGTGGGACCTATAAATCTGAGCACTGATGTGTATTTAACCGATTTTTTTATTTTATTTTAGACCGATAACTAGAATGACTAGAATAGTTTAGGTCAGTGAAGTACATTAAAAATACGTTAAAAACTTTTTGGAAAAATATAAATAATAAAATACTGGACCTATGCACTATTTTTTTAAAGAAGTACGAAAATTGCAGAAGTTTGGCGGTAAAGTATAAAAACTCTATAGAGGGAGCTCCCCCCTCCCCCCCCCAAAAAAAAATGGGATAGGTTCAAACCTCTATTACTACAGTGATCACCAAAAAACAATGGAATAGAAAGACGACATTTTATTTGCACATAAAATAGTTTAAAATAACTAATTTAGTGAAATGGGACTGTTTTACACTGCACAATTGCTTTGTCTCCTGTAAATAGGCCCATTTACTGACTTGATTCTAAAAGTTGTCTGGTTATCACTGTATATGAGTGGCTTAAACGTTGATATAGTTTCTACTAATAACAGACTATTCAGATTGCTCAAATATTCTCAACAATTCTAGAATACTGAAATTGGTTCGGTTTCTTCCAAATCTACGACGCCAGCTGATTGTTATGCTTCGAACCATGGATAATGTTGCAGTATTCTTCGGTCTTCTTATGCTCTTCATCTTTATATTCAGGTAAACATTTTAAGGGGTAACCTAAAATAATTTGGGAAGAAATTTAAAATAGAATGGGTTCATATAGCATTTATCGCCCTAAAATGTTTCAATAGTATTTAAAACATAGCTTACTCTTTAATCATGTACTTTGTGTATATGAATGGCATAATTTAGTTTTATCAGTATCTCCGCCAGATTTTCATAAAATCCGCGAAAATATAAAAAAAACACCCGCGAATTTCTCTTCAGTGAACTAAGGTGCATAAATATTTAGTCAATATTTACAATTTTCTTGTTCAGTATCTTGGGAATGAATCTGTTTGGATGTAAGTTCCAGGATGAGTTTGGAACCTGTTTCAATTTCTAGGTTTTAAAGTTTGTTAATTTGCCATAAAACTGGGCTATTTAGGTGTGATATTTTTTTTACTAGAAATGAAGCTTTATATCTCTTATATAATCAGAAAAAAATCCAAATTCCAGAGTGATGTAAATATAAATGTTTTAGGTTAAAATGTCTTATATGATGCTACTCTGAAACTCTTCCCAGTAAACTGTCTGTTATTAAGACAATAGCACGCAAAGCATAAGCAATACGGAGAGCTAAAAAACTCTGAATTTACGCTATTGTTCCCAGGATATGTTTCTAGAGATTTGAATTGCAATACTGTAACATTCTTTTTTACAACACTCTCAAAGATGGACAATTTCTAACCATAGACTCTATACGAAAAAATTATATTAAATGACTTACTTTTATCTGTCAGAATATATTTCACAAAGGAAGAGAATAGAGTGAATAGAGTGTATAGAGTGTATAGAGTGACAATACACAAAGTTTACAAAGCTTTTATACCAAAAAATCACAAGGGGTTGCACTTGCGCACAAATATATAAAGGATAACATACTATAGATAATGAAATTCCTTGACATACATTATTTCATTGGATACATAAACGATTTTACAACAAATATTGGTCTGTTATTGGTCGATACAAAAAGTTTCAAGATTCTATTGGATGTTTTAGAATAAAGCTAGTAAAGGATTGGTCTGGCGCGCAGCCTAGTTTGTTAAATATTGTAATAGATTCAGACAAAGCCTTTTTTATGGCATCTACATCCGCTTTAAGCGTAAGTATTTCATTATTTTCAGATGTTGTTTTGGCATGGTTGCTTTCTAGCATTTTTGCTAAAATTCTTTCTAGTTCGGCAATTTTTGATTTTAATTGAACATTTATCCCTTTTGTATCAGACAGGTCTAATTCCTCTAGTTTATTAGTAAGTAAAAGTAGTTTAGTATTGTAATCATCTATGCTAGTGTCGCCAGTAGTTAATCTTTCTGTAATCTTTTTTTCTAAAGCCAAAAATTCCTGTTCTAATTTTAATAATTGGTCTATCCCGTTAGTATTTTCTGATTTATTTATGTTTTCTTGCATTGTCTTAATATCACGTTCGTTTTCCCTTATTTCATTCAATAAAAATTTAAATCTAGAGTTTTCGTTATTCAAATCAGGAAAATTTTCTGGTTCTAGTGTTGGTTGAGTGGGCGTAGGGTTTGAGGTTAATACACCATGTTCAGTAGTCTCCGTGTAGACTTGAGTGGGAGTAACAGGGGTCAATGCACTAGGAGTAACAGACACCATGGTATTATGAGTAACAGGAGATACTGTACTAGGAATAGGGGTTAACGAGATTTCTTTTTCAGCCATTAACTGGTTGTAGATTGTTCGGTACTGCGGTGTCGGGATTCTAGTTTTTAAGGCTATTAATTTATTGAATAGTTCTTGGTAAATGTTCGGCCCATGTAACGGTATGTCTAGAAGTACTGCAAAGTCGTTTACGTCCGTACTTTTTAATATTGGCACTGGTTTATTTAAAAATGTCATTAACGGTTCTAGAAATTCTTTTCCTATGTACTCAGTTCGTGGTTGTTTTACAAGGGTTATATATTTTTTTAAACACTGTACACGATTTTGTCCATACATTAGTACATTAGAGCACCCAACAACTTTATCTTTTTCTACAAATTTTCCATCTTCTGCTATTGATTCAAAAAATTCGATAACTGTCCTTCTTTTTCTTTCATTAGAATACTCATTAATTGCAGTTTGTAATTTTTCATATATTTTGAATTCTATTTGAGGTTCAGTTACAAGGTTTTTTTGTTTTTTTGAAATGTCTAACCTTTCAAAAAATTGGGTTATCCAATTTATTAGTTGAAAGAACAAAGAAATCCGGTTTTTGTCAATGGCATTCGTAAATATTTGCTCCAGGCTAACTTTCATAATTGTCATTGCATCCTTGTTGTTTAAAAAATCTATTGCAAAGGTTTGTTTATAGTTCGAAATTTTTGTATAAACTGTTGCTAATTCATTTGTCGAAAAAGTAGGGAATGAATAAATTGAGTTAGTGAGGAGTAATATCCAAACAAATAAATTCATTTTATCTATCTTGCTCAATCACCTGTCTTTGTATTACTGCAATAGCTTGTTTGCTAAAATGAATCTGATCAAGAGAACATAAAGGACTTTTTTCAATACTTAGGAAACCTAAAAGAGTTGAATTTGAGAATACCCCAATATTGATGTCGGACTTCAGTGAATTGATTATTTTTCTGAATCTATTGGCTGTACTTTTGTCATAAAACAAACACTCAGAATTTTTAATAATATAAGTAGCTCTTGGGGGTGGTTCAACAAAAACGATGTTTTTTGTGTACAGTGACAGAATTCTTACCAGACTAGAATAGATATTTGAACATTTACTTTCGTCAAACTTGTCTAGACAAACATGTGTTTTGTTATTTATTCTGTGGAGTTTAGAGGGAAGCAGATCATTTCCGGATAAATAGATAACCTTTTTGTACTGTTTGTTTTTTTCTCTCAATGTACTATCAATTGATTTTAAGTTAATTTTGCCTTTAAAAAGAATGTTATCTATTTTCCTTCCATTTCTGTCATTATGCTGTACGACCTGCTTGGCTAACGACGATCCCAAAACCAGAATGTTTTCCATAATTGAATAACAGCAGTACTAAAAATAGGAATAATTTATTTCTAAAAAGAAAGAAAAAATCGGTATATTGTCCTTTGCGTGTTAATATACAAATATAAAAAACACTATAATCAATTTAGATAATTGTACATATTAGTAGTTTGTGCAGTACATCCAGTATTTTAGCATCTAATCCTTACAATTTTTTCTATAATCCTGCAGCAGTAAGGACACCGGCCTTGTTGTTCAAATATAGTTTTACAACATTGATAGCAACACAAAAAATGACAAGATGTGTTGTGCACAAATCCTCCGTCCTTTTTATTGCTGCAGCATAGTTGACAAAGATCTGACGCAAGATCGGTACTAGGTAACTGTTCTGTTTTTGTATTCTTGGGTAACAGTTTTTTTCTTTTTTGTTTTTTGTTACTAGGTTTGGACATTCCCGATCTTTTTTCTAACCAACAAGTATTACACTGTGGCAAGTTAAAATTAGTTAGAATGTTCTTGCAATATTTACATATTTTAAATTGTAGGAGAAGGGATTTTTGGTTATCTTTTTCCTTGTCATCTTCCCCTTCTAATTCATCTTCCCCCCAGTTTTTATTATCTTCTATTTCTTCAATTATTGTTACTTGGAATTCATAATTATCGGAGTCTGATGCAATTGTTATAATTTCTGTATTCTGAGAACTAATGAACATATCTTCATCTGAAGACCAAAAAATCTCATCTAAGTCTATTTCAAAGTTATTCAAGGCTGTTTGCTCATGAAATTGTCCCTCAGTATCCATCCTCGCTGAAAAACCAGAAATTATATTTAGAAGATATAAAAGTCGGCCATTTTATTTTTGAATATTTTTCCCCTGAAACTTATTATGGGTGCAGTACGGATTTGTTTATATTATAGTTACTAGGGGCTAATTTTATATTTATACAGAGATAAAACAGGGTTAAATATATTACATTACACATTTTTAAGTTCAAATTTATAACATGATATGTAGATTTTCTTTTTTTTTTTATTTGTTAAAAATTTGTAATTTTAAATTGATTTTGTCGTTATCCCTGTTTTGGGTCTTATACCAAATTATAAAGTGACCGCCCGTGATACCGATAAATCTGTGTTGTAAAACCAGATTCGTTTGCAAATATCCGGATTTGTTAAAAATAGTTATTTTGTCTATTCTTAAGTTTGGTAGCCTTAGTCTATTATTGAAAATGTCTGCAGAAGCAGCATATCAGAAATGGTTGCAGTTAGAAAATCAGTCTGCTCTACCTATTATATCTACTCCTGTTACAAAGTCTGAAGACCAGACGTTTCTGTTCGGACAAACTATGGAGTTTGTGATTTTTGCTGCTCTTTATATTTTGCTGCGAGTTTTTATCTCCTGTTTTAATTGGTACTCCCGGTATATTTATTTCAAGTCAAAAAGGACGATTTCTCTTACTCATTCGATGTACTACACATGGTTCTACTGCTCTGGTATAGGTAATAATACTGTTTATTTTACATTTACTTTTGCAAAAGTGATTGTCCAAATATTATACGTTGTATAAAGGCGTTTCAAATTTTGTTGTAAAAATTATTTTTCAATGATACTGTAAGATGGATTTTTGAATATTCTATGCTTATTTAATATAGAGGCTGTCGAGATGTCGTTGCTACACCAAACCTCTACCGATCTGGAAGCCCCCAAGATTTTTTCGTCTACCCCGAGGTAAAATAATTTTTTGTATATTTCTATATTTTTATTATCAGTTACAGTCATTGATTAATAATAATGTTTGGCAACCCTGGATTAGATTTCAAAACGTTGCAAAAATTTATATTTATGCTTTTCTATCTTTATATAACGGTCTTTCTATCTTATTGTCTATCTTAAGGTTTCTATCTTGTTCTATATTTATTTTGTTTCTATCTTTCTTTCTTTTCATCTATTTTGAATTTTCTATCTATCTATCTCGGTCTCTCTATCTTATTATCTATCTATCTGTCTCCTTCTTTCTATCTTTTTATCTCTTTTACATTTCTATCTTTTCATCTCTTTCTCTCTATCTTTTCAATCTATTTTAAATTCTCTATCTTAATATCTTAGTTTTTCTATATATTTGTCTATTTTTCTATCTTTTGCCTTACGTGTGTATATACACAGAAGAAATATTGTCGGTGTTACTAAGGAATTCAAAATGATTGAATACTTAAACTGTCTGGAATTTCAGGGATGTAGCCAACAATTTAGTTTAACTCCGTCTAGCTATACGTTGTACATTGAAAAACCTTGAGAAAAATTATAACAAAATCATTGGATACCATGTGTGTTAAATTTCCTTTAACAACAAATTTACAAAAATAATCAATAGTATAGATTTCCGTTCATTAAGAAAAAAGATTTTATCTATATTTGTCTTTATTCATTTAAATCAATGTCAATGAAATTCATATTATTTAAACAATTGGGTGAAGTATTTACAAAGGGGTGAATAGTAATCCATGAACTATAAACCGCTTCATCAGTTTGAGTCTGTTTGTTTACCCCTGAGCGCTTCCTCGTCTGAAAAATTAGATTCAAAGTATGGTTCTATTTAAAAACTAAATCTTAATTAAATCTTTAAATTAGTAGTATATAGTAAATTTCTTACCAGATAATAATAAGTGAAACACATGGTCACGAAATAAACACCCAGAAACACAGACACAGGTATAAGGATCCACAGTATAAAAACCTCTGTTTTCAAGGACTTTGTGTTAACTTGCAAATATCGAATCTGATCCAACCCTTGTGAACTTTCATTCCTAAAAAGAATTTTATCATTTAAATTAGAAAACCTTGAATATTTAGTCAATATCTAATTTAAAAACCTTCAATATCTTCGATATATCTATTTATCTATATAACTTTCTAGAGTTTTAACTGTTTATCTATCTATCTAACTATCTATAACAATTTATCTATATTAAAATGCCCTATTCATCAATATTTGTATATGGTTACAATTTTCTACCTATCTACTGAACTACCTAACTATTAATCTATAAAACTATCTATCTTTCTGTCCAACTATTTATCTTGAACCTTTCTATATATCTAACTATCTGTCTATCTATCTTAATAACTTCCTAACTGTATAGTTTTATACCTAAAAATTTATCTCTATCTCTATTCTTATCTCTAGCTTTAATTTTCTAAATATCTACATTTCGATCAAAGTATCTGATTAACTATATAAAGCACTATATATATATCTCTTTGTCTATTTTGATAAACAATTACCCTGAATGAAAGTAGATGAAATCCTGACTGTTGTTCTGTTGATCCGTATAATAAATCGGTTCAGGGTTATAGCCAGTTTCGGTTAACAAGGGGGTTTCATCAGTGTAGTTTGAACTCAAATCCGTAGATGCTGGTGTTTCAAACAAAGATTCTTGAATATCAGAATGATAAAATTCATCAGACGAAAGAGCTTCATGAATATTGTCGTAATCAGTATAATATTCTTCATACACCGGAATTTGCCATTCACGACCATCTACTGTTACTAAGACATAGATAATAAAGCACAAAATATTCATTTTGATTCAAAAGGTCAATACAAACTGAAGCTCATGCCTTATAAAAAATAAAGGACTGTAGAAAATATTGTAATTGAAAAAACGTAGATAAGAAAAACTTTTTATTGAGAGTATTCTATGTACATCGAAACTTACAACTTATAAAAAAATAAAAGCTCTATATATCACCCTGAATTCATGCTAAATGAGAAAACAATGAGGTTGCAAAAAGATTGTATTTCAATTAAAGTAGAATTATTGATACAAATATGAAAATAAATTTTCTATTTAGAGTATTAACAAAGAAAGTTTGGTTCAACCGTTTCAATCCAAATATTACATTCTTTATATCTTTTACTTAGGGTATTATTAAAAATTTGGTTCAACCGTTTCAACATTAAGTTTAATTTTATGAACACAGACAACTAAATAAATTTTCTATATTTTTATTATCAGTTACAGTCATTGATTAATAATAATGTTTGGCAACCCTGGATTAGATTTCAAAACGTTGCAAAAATTTATATTTATGCTTCAATTAATATGCAAAGAAAGTTTGTACTCATAAACGGGGAGTTGAATTGTCATTGGTTATAATATATACATAGTTATAGTATGCCTATACATACACATATATATATATATATACACACGAACACACCTACGCGTAACTCTTAGAATCTTACTTCACACGGATTGACCAGGGAGGGGAATCTAACATAAAAAGGGGGGTGTTTTACTTTAATTCCTTTACAAATAGAGGGGGGGTGTCTTTAGAAAAAGGGAGGTGTTTGTTTATTCTTAATATTGCGGTTTCTTTGATCACCTTACTGAGTATATTTTCAGGGGCGTATAAAATAAAATTATTTTTATTTCTGGTTTTATAGTTGATAAATTTTTGTAGATTTATGGACTGTATGGAAATGTCAACCATTACTCCTCCCTCTACTACCTCTCAATACTGCCAAACCGATGAGGGATATCATTCAAATCCAGTATATGTTTAATGTATTTTTAATTATATAATTGCGTCAATTTTATTTAGTCCCCAATTTTATATTATGTTTTTATCAATAAAATTTTATTTAGTTGTCTGTGTTCATAAATTCAAATTTAATATTGAAACGGTTGAACCAAAATTTTAATAATACTTCAAGTAAAAGATTTAGAGAATGTAATATTTGGATTGAAACGGTTGAACCAAATATTCTTTATTAATACTCTAAATAGAAGATTTATTTTCATATTTGTATCAATAATTCTACTTTAATTGAAATACTATCTTTTTGCAACCTCATTGTTTTCTCATTTAGCATGAATTCAGGGTGATATATATAGCTTTTATTTTTTTTATAAATTGTAAGTTTCGATGTACATAGAATACTCTCAATAAAAAGTTTTTATTATCTACGTTTTTTCAATTACAATATTTTCCACAGTCCTTTTTATTTTGTATAAGGCATGAGCTTCAGTTTGTATTGACCTTTTGAATCAAAATGAATATTTTGTGCTTTATTATCTGTGTCTTAGTAACAGTAGATGGTCGTGAATGGCAGATTCCGGTGTATGAAGAATATTATACTGATTACGACATTAATCATGAAGCTTTTCCGTCTGATGAATTTTATCATTCTGATATTCAAGAACCTTTGTTTGAAACACCAGCATCTACGGATTTGAATTCAAACTACACTGATGAAACCCCCTTGTTAACCGAGACTGGCTATAACCCTGAATCGATTTATTATACAGATCAACAAAACAACAGTCAGGATTTCATTTACTTTCATTCAGGGTAAAAGTTTTATCAAAATAGACAAATAGATATATATATAGGACTTTATATAGTTAATCAGATAGTTAGATAGAAATGAAGATAGGTAGAAAATTAAAGATAGAGATAAAGATAGAGATAGAGATAAATTTTTAGGTATAAAACTATACAGTTAGGAAGTTATTAAGATAGATAGACAGATAGTTAGATAGATAGAAAGGTTCAAGATAAATAGTTGGACAGAAAGATAGATAGTTTTATAGATTAATAGTTAGGTAGTTAAGTAGATAGGTAGAAAATTGTAACCATATACAAAGATTGATGAATAGGGCATTTTAATATAGATAAATGGTTATAGATAGTTAGATAGATAGATAAACAGTTAAAACTCTAGAAAGTTATATAGATAAATAGATATATCGAAGATATTGAAGGTTTTTAAATTAGATATTGACTAAATATTCAAGGTTTTCTAATTTAAATGATAAAATTCTTTTTAGGAATGAAAGTTTACAAGGGTTGGATCAGATTCGATATTTGCAAGTTAACACAAAGTCCTTGAAAACAGAGGTTTTTATACTGTGGATCCTTATACCTGTGTCTGTGTTTCTGGGTGTTTATTTCGTGACCATGTGTTTCACTTATTATTATCTGGTAAGAAATTTACTAGATACTACTAATTTAATATTTAATTAAGATTTAATGATTAATATGAAACATAGTTTGAATCTAATTTTTCAGACGAGTAAGCGCTCAGGGGTAAACAAACAGACTCAAACTGATGAAGCGGTTTATAGTTCCTGGATTACTATTCATCCCTATGTCAATACTTCACCCAATTGTTTAAATAATATGAATTTCATAGACATCGATTTAAATGAATAAAGACAAAATATAGATAAAATCTTTTTTCTTAATAAATTGAAATCTTTACTATTGATTATTTTTGCAAATTTGTTGTTAAAGGAAATTTAACACACATGATATCCAATGATCTTGTTATAATTTTTTTTTTTTAAGGTTTTTCAATGTACAACGTTTAGTTAGACGGAGTTAAACTAAATTGTTGGCTACATCCCTGAAATTTCAGACAGTTTAAGTATTTAATCATTTTGAATTCCTTAGCAACACCGACAATATTTCTTCTGTGTATATACACACGTAAGGCAAAAGATAGAAAAATAGACAAATATATAGAAAAACTAAGATATTAAGATAGAGAATTTAAAATAGATTGAAAAGATAGAGAGAAAGAGATGGAAAGATAGAAATGTAAAAGAGATAAAAAGATAGAAAGAAGGAGACAGATAGATAGATAATAAGATAGAGAGACCGAGATAGATAGATAGAAAATTTAAAATAGATGAAAAGAAAGAAAGATAGAAACAAAATAAATATAGAACAAGATAGAAACCTTAAGATAGACAATAAGATAGAAAGACCGTTATATAAAGATAGAAAATTTAAAATAGATGAAAAGAAAGAAAGATAGAAACAAATAGATATAACAAGATAGAAAGCTTACGATAGAAAGCTAGATGATAGATAGATAGAAAATTTAAAATAGATGAAAAGAAAGAAAGATAGAAAACAAGACCTAGAGCTACTTGGGAATTATTCATATTTTCCTTTTTGTAATATATTAACAAGTATAGTTGTACCCCTGTTTTCCTCAACGAAAACAATTTATTAGAATCCGCCTCTCCCTGTTTGTTGCCATATTTGGCTATACCCCTGGTCAGAATTTTTTGCTTCTACTTTTATCAAACTTTAGACACCTTTTATTGTGATGTTTAAATAAATCCTTCATATTTTGATTTTTCGTTGATTATTCTTTCCTTGTTAAAAGAAAGAATAGGTTCTTTCGATCCACAACAACCTGTAATTTACAGGAAAATAAGAAAGGATTTATTCAATAATATTTTTGTTAGATTTTCTGAATTCTTCAGATTAGATCTAAACTCTCTTTTACTAATAACAAATTAAATGATATGAAAGTTCAATTGAAAAAATGCACACTAGATCTAAATTCTCTCTTACTATTTAATAACAAATTAAATGATATAAAGGTTTATTTGATAAATGTACACTATATATATATATTACCCATTACCAGTCTTCTATTTATATTTTCTACTCATTATTCTTTCCTCGTTAGAAAAAAGAACAGGTCCTTTCGAACCAGAGCAACCTTTTATTTTAAAAAGGAGAATAAATAGGAGACCTTTGTTCCCCATTAACGATTTTCTGTGCTTTCTTCAGTGCTCTCCTTTTCTTCTTATTCTGATTCCTTTTCCTTTTGACTTCACTTTGCTTCAGCATTCGTTCAAATTTCATTCTGTTCCGTAACGGTCCAAATTTGAATCTATTGGGACTTGATACGGGTTCATAACTTCGTTGGATCCATTCCTTTATAATTTCTGGGTTTCTTCTTAAGATTGTTTCCATTTTGTGAATGGAACCAAACTTCTTCTCAAGTTCCTTGATGGATTTTACCAACTTCCAGCTCTCGTCCACGACAGGTTCGGGTTCTTGCTTTTTCTCAGGGTTCCTTCCATTCTCAATTTCAGTATCGTCATCACTGATTTCAATTATATCTAATTGTGGAGCCCTGTACTCAGGATTAAGTAATCTGATCTGTCTTTCTTCTTGGTCCGCCCACACCTTATCCTCCAGAAAGCTTGCTAGCAATTGTTTTCGTAGTTCATACATTGCCGTTGCAGTGAATCTCATATCGTTTGTTCTCTCGTACGCAGACATGTTTATATTCATACCGTGAGTAAGGACATGCAGGGCACAGTCGTAACTATTGCCCTGCTGCCTTATCTTCGGATGAACAAACGTGTAATCTCTATCTTGCATATGCAAGCTCCACATCGCATTCCGGACCTTTTGAAATACTTCATCTGGAAAATCTTCTGGAGAATTTGATTTACTGCTATCTAAGAATTGTATCTCATCCGCTATCCTGTCTATGGAAACCAGGGTATAGTGCCCTTGGTTCCAAAGAGGCAGGAGGATGATCCTGGTGTCGTCTGTATCTTGCAGTTTGTTAATTGCCGCTTTTCCAAATTGCTGTCTTCTAAGCACAGATTCTCCGTCCTCTAAAGTCATAACTACTGGATAAGGTGCTCTTATTCTTGTGAGGTCTCTAAGCGCAATATTGAGGATTTGGCTGGTGATCCACTTCCTGGGAGCCAGACTTTTCAAATCCTTTACCCTGAGTATATCTCCATTTTTGTATATAATTATATCACTATCTTCCATAGTCGCTACCATATTATTTATGGTTGGAATATAGTGAGAACCATTACGACCCACAGGAATGCTCTTGGTAAAGAAAGCTGCAATTTCAGTGTTCATCGTGCTAGACAAGATCTAACTGCAGTTTATCTTCTCATCCTCAGGTTTTTAAGGCGCATCTACAATTCTAACTGTATTTTGTCTAGACCAAGATGACTGTGTGGGTGTTATAAACCAAGAATAAGTAGGTTTAAGTCTAGACCTGCATCTACACCTGCAGTTGTTATTAAGGTATGAATGGATTTTAAAATATGCGTGAGAAGAAAAAGAGAGAATTAGAGAAAGTAATATATATATATTACAACACTCTTTGAATAATCTGCTATTATAATTAACTTAGAATCTATTTTAGGAAATCTTAATTTATTTAGTTGGCAATTTATAGGGAATATATTGGTTCTTTACGTTTTAATATATTAACCTATTTTGGCTCCATTGGATTTTTTTTTATTTTAATTATATTTTTGTAACCAAACATTACTATAGATCTTTTATTTTTCTTTTGATCTTTATTTGGCATATTTATATACATATACTTTTTATCTCTTATTTGGAGCTTTATAAGAACAATAACCCCACTGCAGCTTTTATTTATTATTTATATATTTTAAACGGATCACTCTTTAAATCCAATATTTATATTGAATCATTTTATATATAGGTTCTTCAGACCTGATTTTATAAAAAATAGATCTAGTTTTCAGATTCCATTTTATATCATATATTTTCTTGATCATTTTCAAAAACAAATTATCGTGATTCTTCCAAACTTGTTTTTGTTAAAGTGTCCGCAATTAAGGGTTAGTATGCTAAAACACTTTGCCTGGCTCGTGATTGTTTACCTTATGTATGCCTGATTCTCAGTCATAGCCATACCTTTATACTCCAGACCAATTATACTCATGCCAAATTCCGGTGGCGACCCGAAAAATAGGATATATTTTGAAAAATAACTTTTAAAAAACTTTTCTC